CAGGAGAATCACCTTTTTTTGGAGGGGGGTTAGTCATTTGCTCATACTATCAAAATAAATGATTAAAGGGTTCCCTGTTACTTTCATTTTGGCTCCTTGTTCTTTTACTCAGCTACTCCTGGCAGTTCAACTCTCTCTCTCCCTCTGTCTCTTCCTTTCTCTCTCAGCTCAGTTGAGGTCCTGACAAATTGGGGCAGTAAGCAAGGTACCTAATCAAGAACAATTCCATTCTGCAAAAGCAAAAAACATGAAGATCTTTTGGGGTACTGTAGGGAGGTGCTAGAGGAATCTGCAGGACATTGTAGAGAGATGCTACCCGATTGTTTGCAAAAGTCTGAAGGTCCTGCAGGGCACTTTGCAATTGATTCTTGGGAAGTGCCAACGAATCCCAAGGGAAACTTCTTTAAACATACCAATGAAACTGGCGAAGTGCTAGTAGAGAAGGAATGGGGTATTCTTGAAGGATGCTAGCATACTGTTTAATAAACTATTTGTTCTGAGGGAGAACTTTAGTTCTTTTCTTTAACTCCTGTTTGTTAAAGACCAGAGGGGCCAGGAGAAAGCTAAGAAAACTTGGGTGAAACTAGTCTGCCTTGTACAGCCGCTAGAAGTCTTGGCCAAAAAGAATAACTGCCTGCCTCAGCCTGCTGCTCCTCCTGGTTCTCTAACTCCTGCTCCTGCCCCAGAAAACTCATCACCAAATCCTGATGGACCAGCCTCTATAAGTGATAAGGGTTCTCTCTGCCCCTCCCTGTGGGTCTAGGGGTGAATTAGAGGTCTTCATTGACTTTTGCCCAGACCTATCAGTTTTCAAAAATAAACAAAACTAGGGGTTAGGACAATGCCCTTCTGTGCATAGGGGACTAGAGATTCTAAACCACGGTTAACACTCAAAAGGGAAACAAAAGAAAATTGTACATCTTAAACTTTTTAGCTACCCATTCACAGGTGACTGAGTCTCACTGGCAACAAAATGAGGATAAAACATATAACACTTTCTGTTTCGAGGTCACCATAACTGGTATTCTTGCCCAAGCCCAATTATGAGTGGGTTCCATCAGACCCCTATAAACCTTCACTGTTATAATCCCTAATGTTAAATGTATTAACAGTACTAATGTGTAGTCTATGTGTACCTCTGCAAGCCTTTGCCCCCATGCTGTGAAACTGTTGCAGTTTAGCAAGGCATATGGAAAACTGTAAACCTACCTGATACACGGACATTAGCTATTAGTCTGGCCATTTGTTGGAGCCACTGGGAAGCCTAGTATTGACATGTAGAGGCTCCACTATGAGGACAAGATATTTAGATAGAAACCATTTTTTTCCCACTAAGCTTTTTGTTACCCATGTGGATGCTTACCAGAGAGGTGAGCATAGGGATGCCAACACGGAGAGCATAACCGATAAGCAGACCGCCCTTGTCAGCTAAACACAGAGCCCCAGAGCAAGCTGATGTGTGACTGATCACCTCCTTGATCCACAAGTCTGGCCATAAAAATCCAGACGCGATCTTAGACTGGGCCTCCACACATGGACTGCCACTATCATCAGAAGTCTCAAAAACAGAATGAAAACCTGGTCTGCTTGTCAAAACCTGACTAAGGCTAACCACACTGTGCCCATGGACACAGTTCAAAGCCAATGGGCCAGGATGTTCTTGGCTTGTCCCATTCAAAGGGTTCCTCTAGATCCTGACGACGGCTGACGCTTTCTCTGGGTTTGACCTAGTCATTCCTGTCCGTTTCACTGACCCAGGCCTCTCTATCCATGTCCTAGAAAAACACATTTGCTTTCTGTTCATTTTTCCTGAATACATCACATCTGATAATGCCCCCAATTTTCCACCCAAGCTGCACATCAAGGAGCCCAATCATGGGCCACAGGATGGATTCTCCATGCTTCATAGCATATACAAAATAAACAATAATTATTTTTAAAATACAATATTTTGATGGCTACAGGAGACATATTAATAACAGTAAACTAAAACCCAGCAGCTGGGGAGACGTGGGGAAAGGGAAGTATACTAATAATCCTTTTTTCAGGCTTGCTCTTAGAAGTTTTCCCCTTCCTCCAAAAAAGAAAGAAACAATAAAGAAAGAAAAACAAATCAAAAATGTTGCCCTGTGCTGCCTTTCCAAGCTGCTGCGAACTGATAACACTGACTATGTGATAAGAGAGGATGGTGTCAGCTTCTACACATTCCACAAAAAACACCTGCAGATGTCATCCACACGTGTAAGACCCACAGACAAATGCCGCAGACAAAACGATTTAAAAATGCCTCGGGCAGTTACTCTAAAGCCAAAGATTAAACTAAATTATTCGAACTGAGCTGGAAACCCAAGGGCAGGAGGTCCCACGATGGGGGGCTATTTTGGGGCCCCTGCTAACCTGACTACCTGCCTAATGTATTCCTGGCTTGGCATGCCTTAACAATGTTTAATCCTTTGTTTACCGGGGACCATATGAGTCCTCTGAAAAGCTGCTTCTTGTGTGTATACCCCGACTGCCATGACAATGCTAGAATCCTGGGAGGCCTTTAAGTCAGCTTATTGGCAAAGTTGCTTTGCTTCCGAATTGATGCTCCAGGCAGGGAAAAAAGATTCATATAGAAATAAGAGAACGCCTTCTAGCTCTTTAAAGTAGATCCTCGTGGGCTTGGTAATATCTTTTCCTTGCTTGGTAACAGTTGGGACTCAAGTTCCATTCAATCCTCCAGGCAAGCCTGATCATCTTACTTGGTATGATCTTGATTATAGTAGAGGTCTACTATTGCCTCAGACTAATTACCTGTGCTGTTGCTGTCACAGCACCTCAGCATCTGATCCAACTCAGGTCCATGTTAAAGTAGCCTATATTTCTCACTCCTGTCCTAAAATATCAAGTTGAAGAATTCCAGCTCTTGGTTAAAACCTACGTGAGAATTTTTCAGGCTTGAAAATAGGCAATGACAAAGGCTTCACCTGGCAGGCTCATGGGAAGGCTGCTCTCCCCACACCAGACTTGGCACAGGACCAAGACTGCATTGCAGTCTCCGCAGTTAGTCAAGGACTCAGGAACCCCTGGCTGGTCATGGCTTTTGCATATTTATATTCCTAGCCCCAGAGCCTTCATTCTAAGTCTCTTTATCTGAAGATGCTGGCTGAAGTCCTTTTAAAGTGTCTCTGCTGAGACCTCTGCTGTGGCAGGGGATGCACGGGGTGAAGTGGTAAGAAGAGAAAACTTTGAAGACATATTGCCCTTCTCTGACCTAGCCCAGCACTTTTCCACTTCTAGCTCCCTTCCTCCCCTTCCCACAGGATCCATAAAATTGCTGCAACCTTTTTGGGGGACTCCCTCAGCAGTGGAACAATCCCCAGGTCTGCACTGATCCACTTGACCTGCACACAAGTCCACAGGGGAAAAATAGGAGAGAGAGGAGTAGCACCTTCTTCAGTTTTAGCTTGTTGCTCACATTATGCCCCTAAGTGATTAAAGACTTCACTGTTAACTTTCATCATGACTCCTCATTGCTCTACTTGACTACCCCTGCACCTCTCAGCTCAATGCTGTCTCTCAGCTCCACTGAGCCCTGACCTACACACCTGAGGAGATTAAAGGAAGAGACTTATATACTATCTCAATTTTCAAATTAGTATAGAGATGACTGCTACTAATTCCAGAAATTTGAGATCATTAGGCCCTCTAAAGCAGTCAGAGCTTTAACGTGTTTCTGGCATTCCTATTTCTTCAAAGTGTTTGGTGCTAAATCTTTTAATAAAATCAGGTTACCTGTGTTTTGGCAAAATCTATGTTCTACTCTACAGAGATTAATACCTCAATTAGAAGTTTATCTGTTGGAAACTCAGAAGGAAAGACATAAGCTCACCCAATCCCACTGAGAGAAAGGAAGGTAAGCATAAAAAATTGATCTGGGATAGAGACTGTGTTCTGTTTGAGTCAATACTTTGGCATAAGATTTTTAGTAATAGACTATTCTGATATACCTGACCTCTCTTATCAATGATATTGATGGTTTATATTTATTTGGTTCAAACCGGGTACCAGTATGTGCAATGGTGTCCTTTCCAATCATAATTACACAGAAAAATCTGAGGGTATGAAAACAGAGAAACAACGTTATGACCAGTGAAAAAGTCTCAAATATTCAATATGTCGTGCTCCAGAAAAAATATAAACTTACCCTAATTTCTAGTCCTGTTTATCCTCTCCTCCTCCACCAAGACTAATTCTATTCAGCCATCCATGCAGCCTCAACTATGTCCCCAAATACTATTATTTAAGTCAATAGAAAGAGCATGGGCTAAGTGTCCTTTTCCCTTTACCTATTTTGCAATTTACTTTCTCCTTGACCCCTCACAAGCCTACACCTTGAACCCATGTGCATTCTCCTCTTACCTCCAGCAGAGACAATGAGGTCCCTACCCTTCCATGGGTTTATGAAATTTAAGTCCCTTCTGTTCAGCAGGAAGCACTGTTACACCTGTTTCTAAAGGTTTCTCGGGGAGATTGCTCTACTGGGATATTTCCCATGATAACTAGAGAAAAGCAGCAATTCCATTTCCCAGTGGCTTAATTTATGGAAACCTCCTTCTCTGATATTTTCTCATTAGTTTTCCATAGTATCAGGAACTCCAAGCATCTAAGTAAAGGCTTTTCCTGGCAGGCTCATGGGAAAAGCTATTCCTCCCAAACCAGGCTCTACGCAGGACCAATGCATTGCAGCCTCTGAAGCGAGTTAGTCAAGGACTCAGGTTGGTCATGCTCTTTGCATATTTATATTCCTAGTCCCAGAGTCTTCAGCCCGGGTCACTTTATCTGAAGGCATTGGCTGAGGTCCTTTTGAGGTATCTGCTATGTCATAAGTGTGTCATAAGTAAAGTATGGACCTCATTTGATAGATTTGCTCAGAATCAACAGATTGTATGAATACATGTTCTTTTGAAGAATTGCTTTTAACAGAATTAAGAATTTATTTATTTATTTATTTTTACTTCACTATCCTCTGAAACGATAGTCAATTTCTTCAAGGTCTTTTCATTTTTGTCGAAGAAGACATAATTCATTGCCACAACACCGTTGATCACATAAAAGGCAATCCTATAATTAATTTGTTTACTTAGCTCAAGATACTTTTTTTTTTAACCACTGTTCTAAATATAGACCACTATTCTATTCTTTTAGCCCACACATACATGATTAGTTCCAGTGGTTCCAAAGTAGATTTTAGCATAATGTGAAAATACCAATAATCTATACATTGCAAAGAAAATTATACTATCTTAACTCTTTCCTGTATTCATGCTCCTTGCAAGGTGAATTGGCAGTTCTTGCCATCAAAAGATGGAATCTCTTTCCCTCCCTCTATGTCTCCTTGTGACTGGATTGGGCCACAACAGAAGAGACTGTGGGTCAGTTCTGAGCCTAGGCCTCAACATATCTTGTTTGGATACTCATACTCTGTTTCAACACCCTAATCAGTAATTGGGAGAACACAGAACCAGACTCCCGGTGAGTAAGAGGCCACATGAATGGTAATAGAATTGTCTTAGCTAATCTCGTCCCAGTTCAGCCTGCTCTAGCCAACCAGTTGCTGACCTTGGATACATGAGTGAACCAGGACTAGAGAAACATTTAGTTCCAGCCCAAATAGCTAACCCATGAAATTCTGAGAGAAACATATAGGTTCTGTTTTAAGTCATTAACTTTGGGGTGGTTTGTTATACAGCAAAAGATAACTGATAAAATATATTAAATCATCCTTCCCACCTCCACACTTTTGTTCCAAGTACAATCTACTATTCATACCATACCAGGAATGTTATTTTAAGAGTGTCTTACTTAATATCTTCGTTTGTAGGTTGCATTAAACTCCAATTTCTCAAAGCATGACCTATAAGATTTTGCATATTTTGCCTCTAGCTTTCATTTCATGACTCTTACTGTGTCCCGTCTACACACGCCTACATTTTGTTTCTTTAATGCATCCGGCTGTTTCTAACCTGAGGGAATCTGCACAAATGACTTATCTTACATATTTTTCTAGGGGAGTCCTTCTCAATCTTTAAGTTTCGGTTTAAATTCTACTTCATGGATGAAGTCTTCTCTGTCTCTTACTTCTAAGTGGATATTCATGTTTATTCATTCTTTTGACTCATATTGCTAATTTACTTTAAAAGGATTATACTATTTTGATATCTTAGCAGGGTTAAAGAGTACATATTTTCTTCATCACCTTAAAATTATCATATGCTTTTAAAAATAAAACTTGGCTTTTAATATAATGCAATTATTTATCATAAAAATTAGAAAACACAGATAATTAAAAATAGAAATCATGTGTTAAATTTGTATTCAAAGGTAATTTAAATTAGGTTAAATTTAATTTAAATTTGGTTAAATACCTAATCTCATTTTGTTTATAAATTGAAGGTCACAACATATTAGTGAGTGAAATCAGTTCCAAAGATGTTTTTAACAACACAGAATAAGAAAAAAACAGAATAGAAAAGATCAAAAATATTGCATAGAGTATTATTTTATAAAAATGCTTTTCTATTAGAACTATGAATATGAATATATAAATGTATGTATGTATGTCCTAAGTTATGATTTAAAGTATATTATTTATTGCGAATCACAGTCAACAAACTTTTTAGTGATCCCACTTGCTCCTTCTTACCCTAATTCTCTTTCTCATTGGTGGTAAAATTCTATTAAAAAGTTGCACATGTATTTTCATTCTAGCCTTCACTCCTGAGATCTAAGTCACGGAACAGTCTAAAATATACAAAACTAAACTTCCAGTATCACTTCTCCCAACATCTTCCTGCAGTATTCTCTATGTCAGTATTCTTATGTTTTTAATGGCAACTCCGTCACTTTCCAGTTGGTCATCCTCAAATGCCCTCTCACAGTCAATTTGCAGTCTACCAGAAAATTCTCTTGTCTCGTTGTCAAACTGAATCTAGACTTGGACCACATTGCTCCATCTTCATTGCCACTATCCTGATCTGAACCACCATCATCTCTCACTATAGTTATTACAGTAGCTCCCCAAGGACTGAAGCTTCCATGCTTGCCTCCCTTCAATGTCTCCTCAACATAGACATGTGCCTAACTGTTAAACTCAACATCAGATGATGTGTCTTCCCTCTGTTCCATACTTTCCAATGACTTCCCAATTCTCAGAGTAAATTAGAAAAATCTAAATCTTGGAATGACCATCAAGTGTCTATATTGGGGTGTCCAATTTTTTGGCTTCCCTGGGCCACACTAGAAGAATTGTCTCAGGCCACACATAATATACACAAACACTAACAAGAGCTGATGAGATGAAAAATGTCACCAAAAAAAATCTCATTTTAAAATAAAGTTTATGAATTGTGTTGGGTCACATTCAAAGCTATCTTGGGCTGCATGCAGCCTGCGGTCTGTGGGTTGGACAAGCTTGCTCTGTATAATCCTGTAGGGTCCATCCCTACAGGGATCTGTGAGCCCCTCCTTGCTGGTGCAGAGACCAGAAATTGTAGAAATAGAAGACACAAGACACGGAGATAGAGAAAAGAGAGTTTGGGCCCGGGGGTCCACTGCCAACCAAATCGCAGAGTCCTGCATAGCCCCTAATGCCTGGACGCTCTCACTTTTACTGAGTTGCAAATCTGGGGGCCAGGTAAGTAGGGCATAGGTAGGGCATGGCCTTGGTGGTCAGAGACTGGGGCAGGGTAGATAGAGCATGGCAGTGATAGGGTCAAGTTCATCACGTGTCATTCAGGTAGGGGCTCAGGAGTTTCTGGCATCCAAAGTGAGGTAAGGAGCATAATGCATCAGCAGTTTTTCCATACTTACCAAGAAAGACTAAAACATTAAGATTTTACTATTATTGATTTTCTAAGAAAAAGAAATCAGGTGCATAAGCAGAACACGAGAGAGTAGACATAGAATGTGATCACTGGAGCACAGCATCACTTAGAGACAATTAAGCCCCCAGATGTCTGTGGGCCTGCCTGACAGCCATCAGGCCTTATCACAAGAGGTTGGAGAAGTGGAGTTTTCTCCTAACTCCTCCGGGGAAGAAGACATCTCAGTCATCTTGGATGTCACCTTCCCTAGCTGGCTAAACAGCAGGTGCTTTCCCAGCGCTGATGCTGTGCACAGCCAACGCGCCCTCCAGCAGTGCTTATGTGGGTGTAACAGAGGGCTTAAAGCATCTTGCCTTAGTGTCATTCACTTCACAATGTCACCCCAGGTTCACACGTCTGACCTGAGAGGCATTAGTAAAAGAATTAAGATCATCTATGAATAACTAAGATCACATATGAAAAATAACTACTATGGTTATATTTCTAGTTACTTTCTTCATTATTTATATGAAAATAGGCTGAGGCTTTTGGCTCCTGCCTCAGCACTTATGGGGTGTTCTCCCTACATAATCTATGTCTTTTCTTTTCCTCTGAACTCATCCTATAGTTTTTCAGATGTGTCCCCAACTCCATTTCCACCACATTAGTCTCGTGATTCCTTAAACAGGCCAGATGCTCACCCACTTCAGGGCTATTTCACTAGCTTTTACTGCTGCCTGGATTATTCTCCCTGACAGAGCAGGACCATCACCATCTTGGACAAGCCCCTCATTCTAAAGTTTGCCTTATTAAAAAAAAAACCACCTAAATCCAAAGGGCATCAGCCTAATAGCTAAGGTCAGCATGACCGTAAACCACAAATAACACCTCCAGCCAGAAACATTCCAATCTCCTCCCTGACCAGAGACATGCTAGCCCCAAGATAACCCTGCTTTGGCTGGGAAGATGCCAGCCTCTACATAACCCCCCTCCAGCCAGAAAGATGTCTGCCCCAAGATAACCACCCCTTCTCCCAGAGACATTTCAACCCTGCCATAAAACTTCTCCCTCACACAGAAATATTCCAAGCTTGCAATAAGCCCTTCACCCTAAAACCAGTATATACTCTTAGTCTGTAAAAGAAAGTGCTGCTAACCAAAATCAGCCAGAAGCCCCTCCCAGGTTGCATCTAAAGAAAACCTGTCTTTGACTGTTAAGCCACGTTTCATGTTTCTTTCCTTTTCTTTAACTCTTATACTCCCTCTGCATGGCTAACTCCATTTTCTTCAAATCTTTATTCAAATTTGACTCTCTAAATAAGGTTCAACTTTACCAATCTATTTTAAAGTTATTATCCTGCCACCCATACCAGATCATCTTATCCTATTTTCTTTTATATTTCCTACAAAATACATAGTTTCATGTAATTGTTATACTTTTTTGCTTATTTTTAGTAGGTATTTTTTAAATACCTCTCCTCATTATAGCATAAGCTACATATGGCAGGGAATTTTTTTGTCAGTTGTACCCCAATGACCTAAAACATTGCTAGGCCAAGTAGCCTCAGTAAATATTTGTTGCATGAAAGAAAAAAAAATGGGTTATATAATTATTTCTTTAGTGGGTTAGCATCTTTAAAACTCATCAGTCTTTAGAGCCAATAATAAAATTATTTAAGAGGATCAAAACCTATTATTCATGTTTTTGTTAGCAAATTTACATATATTTAATATTTTTGTTTGTATTATTTAAGATAATTTATTAGAATACCAGGACTACTTTGAAATTATAATTTTAAATTTGTAATTGAGAAATTAACTTAGGCTTTGAAAACTTAACTTCATTCAGGTTAAATTTAATAGTCTATAAAAATTACACAAATACTAAGCTATTTTAAGTTGAAATCTTACTTCATTGATCACAGTATTGAAACATTTAAAAGGATTTAAGATTTGCTTATTTATAATTTTCTTTTTAGATTGAAAAGTTTATTTTAAAAACCTGATGAGACTTTAAGTCAGCAAATTGAGATACTCAAAAATGAAATACATATATCATATTTATTATTATACTAGCCAGAAAGCATAAGAAAAGAAAGTTAAGACTTCTATGAGCTTCTGAGAAAAGGCTTAATAGTAGTATTGTGTGTGTGTGTGTGTGTGTGTGTGTGTGTGTGTGTGTACCTGTTTGCTAATAAATGTTTGCATGGCAGAATTTATTCTGCCATGGGACCTCTACATGGAGAAAGCTATTGATATCTACCAAAAAAGTCAGACAACCGTGAACTGCCAGTGGATGCAATAAACAGATAACATTATTTTGAAACCACAGTATCAGAGGCTATACACAAATAAGAACTCAGCTTGGCATACGGCAAACACATTTTTTTTCTCTTGATTTTTATACAGACAACAAAATAGTAGGTCTATGTTGAAACAGGAGAATATGAGGGGAACATCTCCTTGTTTTTCTTTTAAAAAACTTTACATAAAAACTAGAGGTTCATAAAAACTAATTTGTACTCTAGCAATTTTTATCTTAATTATTCTTATTGTTTCAAGACTTGTCTTACTTCAACTCACTCTTCACATAGCCACTGAAATAATCTTTCCTCAATACAAAGCTGTCAATCCTCTGTCTGAAAACCTCATACTGACTCTCTACAGGGTTCCAAATCAAATCTGAACCTTTAAGGAGAACAGATAATATGGCTGTATATGAGATTTTAAAGGTATTTTGTCACCCCAATATCTTATGATTGTATTATCCTCAACAGTCTTTCCTATACCTTACAGGACTCTCACATTTTCTGTAGGAGTGGATACCCCAGAATCTCAACCATAAGCTCCACTAGTTGTTCTGACATTTCTTTATTCTTAAGAGTCTGTCTTGATGCCACTAAATACAATACAAACAACCTAGATTCTAATTTAACTCAGAAATTAGCAGAATTGTAGAAGAGTCATAGAGCTAGTGGGCACAATTTGGTAGAATTAGTCCAGGTGTTATGACTATCTCTAATTGTAGGGTACACACTCACCAAAGCCCTCCATCCCTAAGTTATGGTTCTTTCCTCTACCTCATGTGTTGTCACAATCTCAACAAAATTTCCACAGGTCTTTCCTTTAAGTCCAATGGAAAATAATACGGTTCTGTGAGAACTGTCCCCCAATGTCTAGTAAACAAGGTCATTCACTCATATCCCAAAGTAAAGTCCAACCCCTCAGTCCATAGCTACTTCTTCCAGAAACCAACAGAGCCACCTTCTCTTTTCCAAATGTCTCCATCCTCCTTGCTCTGCAGCCCGATAAGTGGGAAGGTTGTAACCACAGTCAAGTCTAGGCTTCACAGGGAATAGCTAAGTGGGAGAAAGGCTTTCTTCTAAAGAGTTCTCTCCCGGGGAATTAGGGGAAAGCAACTCTATGCCCCTTGTGTGTAATTAGGAAAACACTTGCTGCCACATTCCCCTTTCATGAGGTCAACACATCTATGGGAAGCTAGGTTTTTAAGTCAGGATAGAAGTGAGATGAAAAGAGTACTTCTGTCCAAGGGGTAAAAGAATTGTTTTAGTTACAAAATATCTGCTGAGAAGGGTGAAAGATAAGGAGCAAAAGGAATGAAACTAACAATTTGTGGTTCAAAGGCAGGAGAATTTACTCTTTGGAGCAGTTTAGTAATCGCACAGCACAACCCTGACGTGTATTGCAAAAAATTCAGCCAGGAGCTGACCAGCACAGCTTAGCAGAATTTCTTCAGAAGGATCCAGGGATCACAGGGCCATTTGCAGTGGTGGCAGGAGTGAGGGGCTCTCACGGGATTTCACTGGATTCAGGGGCTCCAGCAGCAAATATCCATCCCCAAGGGTAGGGAGTCAGGAAAGGACTGGAGGGCAACCTTTGCTGCTACATGAAAGCTGTATTTGTGAGCACACATGAGCTAGCCCTTGGACAGACCTGAGAATTAAAAAAGAAAAAAAAAGTCCTCATTGACATCAAAGGCTGCCCCTTCTCATTCTGTCTCCTTTGTTCCCACAGGGCTTGAACCACTGATTCTCTCAGCCAGCCCAGCCAGTCAATCAGTTGGTCCAATAGTCAAGAACAAAGTTTGGATAGTTGACAGATAATCTGCAGAATTATATTCTGTGTTCTGGCAATCAGAAGAATGAGAAAACATTTCTGCAGTCTGTGGACTCCTGCTTAGTCTAATGAGAGATGTGGGACAAACAAAATGAGATTAATAGCAAGAAAAACAAAAAGAAAAAAAATCATGGAAATAAGGGCCAATATCGGTCCTAAAATCAGTGCCAGAGATATTAGTGTGAGGAATCTTTCTTGAAGGCTGCAGTAATTTGGAACAAGGTTGAGAAGCTTGGGGCAACAGTATTAAAAATAATTATTTCTGAGGTTCAGCCATAGAGGTTAAGAATATCTTTGTGAAAAGAATCAATGTGCAGGATTGAGAGAGAGAAGAGAATAGAAAAGGGTACACATCCGAAGAGGTTTCAAATGCACACGAAAAACTTCAGAGGTTTAGAGAGAATAAAATGGCTTAGGTCTGGGAACAATGAGTCCGTAGGGATTATCCCATCTCCTGACAAGAAAAACAGTAAATTTGATGGGTAACAACATTCTCATTAATAGCTGCTATTAGATTCTAAGGTCTCCAAAGCCAAGACCATTCATATGATAGCCACAGAGTGAATCCTCCATACCTAACAGGGTACCTGACATAGCGTTACTGCTCGAACTTTTAATAAATAAATAAATCTTGATGACTGTAGGAATAAACCCTTTCACCACTCAATGTGTGATAATTTGTGATTACATTTACTTATTGAATGCCATATTTCCTTTAGAACTTTTCTTAAGTTTAGTGATTAGGATGAAAGCCTGTGAACCAGGTGTGAGATCATGGTCAATAAAGACATGGCTCTGGGACCAGACATAATGAATTTCTGCCCTGGACTCATAATAATTATCTCTGTGTACTTGGACTAGTTGTTGCAACTCCATATATCATGTTTCTCATGTAAAAAGAAGTTAACATTTATTAAATAGTATTGATAATAAATGAAATAATACATGTTAGGGAAAACACCACATGTTTTCACTCATAGGTGGGTGTTGAACAATGAGAACACAAGGACACAAGGAAGGGAACACACTGGGGTCTGTTGGGGAGTGGAGGGCAAAGGGAGGTATAGTGCACAGTGGGGAGATTGGGGAAGGATAACATTGGGAGAAATACCTAATGTAGGGGATAGGGGGATGGAGGCAGCAAACCACCATGGCCTATGTATACCTATGTAACAATCCTGCAAGATCTGCACATGTACCGCAGAACTTAAAGTATAAAAAAAAAGTTAGCTTTTATGAATGTTAAATAGCCCCAGGACTAGAATTATCTTAGTCATCATCCAATCCAGCTGTTCCCAAATCTTACCCATCATCTGAATTTTCTGGAGATTTTCAGAAATGCAAATGTCCAGGCTTCACTTTCAGATTTTGTGAACTACAAATGTTCATAATCAGTTTTAGCAATCACTGATCTAATCCAACTACATAATTATAGATGAGGCTGAAGGCCAGCAAATTAAGTACATCATCCAAAATGGCACAACTTAGTGTCAGAAAAAGATATAAAATATAGTCCTTAAATCTCCTTGTCCAATAGTCTTTCCATGATGCCATAATCACATGAAGACTAGGGAATTCACTGAGGAAAGAATCATTGTCTCCTGGGACTCATTGAAAACTGGTAAGGTTTCATTAAACTTTGGGGAAAAAGTTTGCATAATTTAGTTTTTTGAACATCAAGTAAATTACACAAAATCATATATTTATTGGGGACAGAGACTGCAATAGTGTACCTAAGGTTAAATCCCAGCTCTGTCACTACCTATGTGACCTTAGGCAAGTCATTAAACTTCTTTGAGTTTTAGTTTCAACATTTAAATAATGGTGATCCCTGACCTATTTACTTCAAGGTATTTCAAATTTCAAGAGGTTTTCATCATTCTCAGCAAACTGACACAAGTGCAGAAGATCAAACACCGCATGTTGTCACTCATAGGCGGGTGTTGAACAACGAGAACACATGGACACAGGGAGGGGAGCATTACACACTGGGGTCTGTTGGGGGGAAATAGGGGAGGGATGGTGGGGGGTGGGGAGTTGGGGAGAGATAGCATGGGGAGAGATGCCAGATGTAGGTGATGGGGAGGAAGGCAGCAAATCACACTGCCACATGTGTACCTATGCAACAATCTTGCATGTTCTTCACATGTACCCCAAAACCTAAAATGCAATAAAAAAGAGGTTTTATATCTGTAAAAATATTTTAAATAGTAATGTGCGTGAAACATATAGTAGGCTGTTATTGTTATTAATTTTGGTGGAACCCCTTTGGATCTAAGATTCTATAACACGTCATGTATACAAGCAGTTCATGTTTGCTGAAATGAGTTTGGGAATTAAGTGAGCTAAAAGCGGAGAAGACCTCTATCTAGTATCAAGAAATGATTTACTTGAATGGAATACTGAATGACAGGGGATGCATTTCCAGAAAGGGAATTGGAGAAGTTAGCAGCAGCAACTTTCAGAACTTTCATGTCTGTCTTGCCTCTTCTATTCTGCTTCCTGGTCCCACTAGCATGTCAGATCACTGAAGAGACAAGCAGGAACCTAGTTGCTAGTGCAAGGAGGAAGCCAACCTGTGCTAAAAGCAAGAGGGTCCATCTCTACTGCTTCAGCTATCACCAGCATGGTAGAGGCATTCATGTGAACTGGCCACCCACTTCTCATCCACAGCCTGCAGACAGCATTTTATCATTCTTTTTAAAAATAATAGAACAAGTAGCTGCAGCAATAGGAAAAGAGGATACACATGGAAAAGATAAGTAACACTGACATTTTGCTCTTCCAAGAGGCTTTTTAGGATCTCCAGGATCTATATCTATTTCCCAGTCCAACGAGCCCTCTTCTGATAGTGGAAAAGCCTTCCAATAGCATCTTTCATGTCCTTGTTTCTCAGGCTATAGATGATGGGATTGAAAAGGGGAGCAAGGATAACAAAAGTGACAGCAATTGCTGTGTCCCAAAACACTGAGTAGGTGGCTGAGAATCTCAAATACATGACAGCCACACTGCCAAAAAATAGCAAGAACACAGCAAGGTGAGCCGCACAGGTGGAAAAGGCCTTGTGACGACCTTCAGCTGAGCGCATTCCCAGAATCACCATAATAATTCGGATGTAGGATAGAGCAATGACCATGAAGGAGGCTAGGATTTCCACTGCATGGATGGCATCCACAATGACCACTAGGGATGTATCTGTGCAGGCCAAGCTCAGCACAGGTGTGAAATCACAGAATATCTGGTGGATCTGGTTGGAGCCACAGAAAGGCAAGGTGGCAATCCACACAATCTCAGGGAGCACAAGGAGGAAGCCACAAAAGCAGGATCCAACTGTCAGCTGGATACAAAGTTTGGGAGTCATGATGGTTGGGTAACGGAGAGGATTGCAGATAGCTATGTACCTGTCAATGGCCATTGCTGTCAGGACACAGCCTTCTGTGATACCAAGTGAATGGAAAAAGTACATCTGCATGAGGCATCCGGCCACAGAGATGCTCTTCTGCTCACTGACTAGGCAGGAGAGCATCTTGGGGATGGTGGTTGTGGTATACCAGATCTCCAGGAAGGACAGGACACTAATAAAGAAATACATAGGGGTATGCAGGGCCATATCCACCTGGATGACAATGAACATCATTAAGTTTCCAGTTAGGATAAATCCGTAGATGAGAAGCAAGGGAATAAAGAATGAGAGGCCGCCTCTGTGCAAATGCGGGAACAGAGAGAAGAGGAACTCTGTCACCATTGTCTGATTCCCACTGGTCATCAACTGTGTCATCTGTGAACAGAGAAAAGGAAATAAGAGACTCCCAGAATTGGAATGTTGATCACCCACTGAGTTTTCTGTAATGATTTACTCAAACTGATTCTAGAATCTTCCCGAAGAGACCAGTTAGAAATATCTCTTAAGGTTTACCTCCATGCCAAAATCATCTGAAATATTTACTGTTGGACCCCTAAATCACCTTTTCTTTCTGGTAAATATCTTCCATTGATGTGCACAAAGCAAAGCAACACACACATTTCATTCTCTGGAAATATTTTCTGTAGGTTTGGTCATTTTTTAATTTCTAGTTCCATCCCTCTGTGTTTAGCCTTAAAACTTGTACCTTCGTTTTAAACTATTTTTTACTCTTGTTTTTCAGAAAAGTTATTAATTTAAACATATATTATTGGAGCTCTTTTTCCAGCAATGTTTATGTTGCTTCACCATCTTCCCCAGCACTGATATCTAACCTGAGCCTAGCTAAAGAATTCAACTTTGCTGGGCACGGTGGCTCACCCCTGTGATCCCAGCACTTTGGGAGGCCAAGGCAGGTGTATCACCTGAGGTCAGGAGTTTGAGACCAGCCTGGCCAACATGGTGAAACTCTGTCTCTAATAAAAAAAAAATTAGCCAGGTGTGGTGGCAGGCACCTGTAATCCCACCTACTTGGGAGGCTAAGGCAAGAGAATCGCTTTCCATTCAGTCTTTAGTACTTACCCTGCCTGACACCATGAGAATGCTCCTCAAAATCTCTGCAGCCACCTGCCTCTTCTCCTAGCTTGTCAATAAGGGTATAAATGTCTCTGAGGCCTCTTCCAGGAATATCTAGAATGGAAAGATGGTCTTTCCTGGGAATTTCTCTTTGTATGATGTAATGTCCAAAGGAAAATCATGTATCTTTCTCTCTCCTCTAAGGGACAAATTAGGATAAAAATGTTACCTAGTAGACATTCCCCAGGGTCAGGTTTCGTAAGTTGTCCTGGGACTATAAAATCTTTTCTCTCCTATAGGAGTAGAATATAAAGCTGGAGACTGGGGCGTAGCTGTGGGGGTCAGAATAAGCTTCAGCCAGGATCATGATTCTCTGGAATACTCAATCAGAAAACACTCCTTTCCTCTCCACTTTTACTCATTTTCACTATGATTTCTTTTCCCTCTGCTGATACAATCAACATCATCGTATTTTTTTAAAAATCTATTTGTATGCTAAAAAAAATAGGTAGCATGGTAAGATTTATGTGGTTTGCTTTTCATCACATTAAAAAAAAATAACTATTTGTATAAGTTAAGCAAGACTACAGTGATTCCCACTTGGCAGATGAAGAGACTCAGAGAAGCCAAAGGCTTTCTCCAGTTCACACAGGCAATACAAGGCATGGAAGAGACTGAACTTTAATCCTCTAAATTCAAATCTAGGTAAACACTAGCATTACCTTTTGATTATATCTCTAGTGATTAGGCCCAAGTATATATTCCCTGGTCTTTTGAAAAGACTTGGTCTTTTCTTACCTTCCAGTATTGACGGTAGTGGTGAACCATCTGAAGTGGCCACTACCTTCATGCCCGCTGCAGCAGGAAGGTGTGGCTGGGGTGGGAGCTGGGTACAAGGGGGAGACCTGCCCCTTCTGAGTCGGGGTGGGGGCTCCCCAGGTGTCACTGCAAGCCACTGCTGCAGACCCAGGCATCCTTGTACTCGTGGGACCCAGGAACAGGTAGGTGCTCCTGGGTGCAGCTGCATTCACCCATACCCAGGCTGTAGATCTGGGCCACCTGCTCCATGGAGCAGACAGAAGCCCCCCCCAGGAGGATGGGGCTGCAGCCACCCAAGTCATGACTGCAGATCACAGACTCCCACTCCCCCATGCAAGTGCAGCCACCCAAATCATGGATGCAGACCCAGGCATCTCTTCACTCCTGGGGGCACAGGAAGGTCCCCTTGCCCTCACAGGCTTGAAAGCACCTGCTCCTGCTGCCTGGCTTCTCCCTGCTGTCGATGTCCACTCCAATCTAGGAGCAAAGTAGGGATGAGCCCTAGTGCTATTGCAGTCCGGCCAGGTGTGCACACACTAGGGGCAGGGCTGATACACCAGACCCTGGACGCCTTGCCCCGCTCCAGACTTTGGGCACCAACAAACATAGGAGGGAAGCCGAGGGAGCACTGAGGCCCGCCCTTCACATTTATAGCCAGGGAGTCACGAGCGGCAACAGGAGGCAGACGGATTCCTGGGCAGAAGAAGGAAGGTCCCTGGTGAGATCCCACATTCAAGCCAGGGAGAGCCTGAAAACTGGGGGTGCTGAGCTGCCCCACCAGAGTGGGAACTGGTGGCGCCTTTTCCAGACTGCCCATGGCTGCCCATGGACCAGTAGGAATGCACTTCCTCCCCTCTGAGACCCATAGAAGCCCGGGGTTCAGCCAGAGCAGAAGTCCAGGGATAACAAAGTACAGACAGGAGCAACCACTCTAGGGCCTCCTCTCTGCTGAGAGCTGCAGAGATGACAGAGACAATGGGTGATGACAGTATGACTTGCCTGCAGAGAGGAGCTACCCTCTCTGCCAATAGATGAATACCTGTGGGGGTGACTTGCCTAGCAGAAAGGAATTAACCTGTCTGCTAGAAGCTGAACGCTCATCAGAAAACCCAGGCTGCAGAAAGGAGCTGCCCACTGTGTGTTTACTCTGAGCTGTTCTGTCACTCAATAAAGCTCCTCTTTGTCTTGCTCACCCTCTGCTTGTCTGCATACCTCATTCTTCCTAGGCACCGGACAGGAACTCAGGACCCACCAAATGAGGCTAAAAGAGCCGTAACGTAAACGGGGATAAGACATGTCCCTTGCTCACCATGTTGTGGTGAATAGAAGGAGAGACGAGTTACGGCCATTCAGGGAGCCCAGATCTGGGAGCTTCCTAAGCCAGGGCTGTGACTGAACTATGAGGATGCACTAGATAATTGAAAAAAAATGTAGGGGATATGAGAAGAGACTGGAGGATTACAATTGGTAGGTGAGAGAAAAATGGTATTAACAGTAAATAACTTTCATTTATTAAATATGTGACAAATATGCTAAGGCATTTTTATATTTCATCTCATTTTATCCTTTCACAGTTCCATAAATTAGTCATTATGGTTTCCACTTAAAAGATGAGAAAACTAAAGTTTAATGACTATGTTTCTTCCCTGTAGTCAGGTAGCTAAGCAGGTGGCAGAGAAAGAATTTGAACCTAGGTTTACCTTACTATCTTATTCCGAAATGCTTAGGTAACTAAGAGAAAAAGAGGGCAATGATGTATTACAGAAATCAAAGGAGAGAATTACAGGAACAAAGAAACAAATTGGGAAATCGACTCACTTTTTCTATTATTATTTGTAACACTTAGTGTCTAGAAATTTATATATATTATTATCCCCATTCAAGAATTATATACATAGAGATGTATATGTACCTATATACAGACATACACACACACACACACACACACACACACACACACACACACACACACACATATTAAAATGGGAGTTCATCATAAAGAAAACTGGAAATAAGAAAAGAAAAAGAAACACATAGCATTAGACTATAAAGAAGGACAAATGCAATTAAAGATGATATAAAATTTACAAATGAAAATAAAAACAAATTATAACATGAAGTGCAGCAAGTGCATAGATACAAACTGATATATTTAACACGGTATTATTATATATCAGTAACAGGTGACAGAAAATGTAATGAAAAGATGCCATTTGAAGTATCAACAAAAATACAAAACTATAAATGATGTGGTGCATCTAAACATAGCACTTTATAAAACCATATTGGAATATAACAAACACAGAAATTGATCCATGTGCTGTATTAATGAATAGAATGTATCTGTTACATAAACATGCCAATCATCTACAAGTCAATAATTTCAATCAAAATCTCAGGTTGATTTGGGAGGAGTGGGACATGTAAGAATGAGGGCCAAGAAAGACGTTTCAAAGGAGACTGAAATGGTGGCACTTGCCCTACTATTTACTAAAGGTTATTATGAAGCTAAATTTGAATAAAATATCAGTAGGAGTAAACAGTCAATAGAAGCAAAGAAATAAACTAATGTAATATGGAATTTTAAAATACGTGAGAGCAGTAATAGCAGATCACTGGGGAAAAGATGAACGTAGCCAGCACAACAGCCTGTGGAAATGGTGCATTGCTTAGTCAATCATATTAGAATTTCAGTTAAAATTTTTAAATTTGATATAAATACAAACCATAAATTTAAAGACTCATGAATTAAGCCATTTAATATTTCCTTTCATCAAATAATACCATTAAGAAGTAAAACCACAAGATACACACTAGGAATCTGTATTTGTAATAATGTATATATAACTGATTATTATTTAGGATATGTAAAAAGCTTCTACAAAGTAATAAGAAAAGACAAGCAAATGAGGAGTACAAAATACACACACACAATATTCAACTGCAAATGAAGCAGTAGCATATTGTTTACACAACAGCCGAGTAGAAAAAAATGTGACCACACAGAACATTTAAAAAGATGTACAACAATTTAAAAAAAAATGCATGCATTGTTGATGGTAGACAGCTTTTGGGAAACAACTTGGCAGCATCTAGTGAAGTTGAAGCTGCCAGTGTTCCGGAATACAAACCGCTGATGGCTAATGATTAAATTGTGCTACATTTATACAAGACAGCAGGGATTTTCACAAGTATTCCTTCTGGCTAGTTTATTCCTTTCCTATGGGGAAAATACCTGGAAAGTATTTCTGTTTATTTATGTTTTACTAGATACTGTTCTAAGGCTCAGAGTAATGATGAGAGGTCTTGACAGAATAAAATAAATAAAATAAGTATAACTTATATTTTACTATTACCTACATGTCAGACACTGTGTACTGTGGTTTACAAATATTCAAAACACTAATATTCAAAATGCTCTTCAATATTGTTATCAAATGATGAAATTAAGACTCAGAGATGCTGTTACTTTCTAAAGATTAATTAGCAAGTGACTGAATAAAATATGATTGAAACCCAAATATATGTGGGTTCAAAAAACATGGTTTTTTCTACTGTACCAGTCTTCCCCACATGGAGTGATTGCAAGTGGTACATAAAACATTATGAATTTTATATTCTAAATTTTCTTTGACACATATTGTTGAGGACATGACTGACTATATTAAGTCAAGTAAATTTGAAAAATGTTTCTCTCTATATATAATAGGTAAGACACAGACTTTTTAAAAATCCTAACTATGATACATAAACATACAAGTTTTGAAAATCACTGTACCACATCATGTTGAAGGAACGTGTGCCTTTCCTAGTCTCTGGTCCCAAGACAAATGTGGCTCCAGCAGACGGTATGAAGGTCAGTGTAAGACTGAAAGTCAGTCAGCACTTGCTACAACTCCACCAACCCCCGCAGAAAAGTACTGAATTTTTGGTTTCATCTCTGGCCACTGTTGATCCCTGGGGTCACTGTATCCTCAGCCCCCAGCATTGGCCTACTCCCAGCCCCCACTCATGCCAGTGTCCCAATTCTCTTTAGCTGCCTCCTCACAGCCTCCTTGATCTCCTTGTTGCGCAAGCTGTAGATGAAGGGGTTGAGGAAGGGTGTGAGCACTGAGTAGACCACTGCCAGGGCGCGGTCATAGTCCAGTGAGTAGCTCTTCTTCAGCCGCACATACATGAAGAGAATGCTCCCATAGAAGATGAGAACCACAGTGAGGTGGGAGGCACACGTGGAGAAGGCCTTCCTCTTGCCAGCAGCTGAGGGAATTCTGAGCACTGTGCAGATGATCTGCACGTAGGAGCAGAGGATCAGCAGGAAGGTGGCTAGGATCTTGCAGGAATTTATAACAAAATCTACTAGGACATTTATAGACGTATCGGTGCAAGCCAAGCTCAGCACGGGGGGGATGTCACAAAAGATATGCTGAATGTGATTGGGGCCACAGAATGGGAGGCGTGAAATCAAGGCAATTTCAACTACTGGCCCAGCCAAGCCTCCCAGCCAACAGCCAATGGCAATCTCTGCACAGAGTGTTAGGGTCATGAGGGTGGGGTAGTGGAAGGGCCGGCAGATGGCTAAGTACCTATCGTAGGCCATAGCGGTCAGGAGATAGCACTCAATTGCTCCAAGGGAGTGAAAGAAATAGACCTGCAGGAGACATCCAGAGAATGAAATGGTCTTCTTCTCACTGAGCAAATTTGCCAGCATCTTAGGGATGGTAGCAGCTGTATAGCCAAGCTCTGAGAAGGAGAGGTTGCTGACAAAGTGGTACATGGGTATGTGAAGCCGGGAGTCCAGGCAGACCACCAGGAATATCAGCAGGTTTCCCACGACAGCCGTGAGGTAAATGAGAAGCAACAAGAGAAAGAGATAAATCTGGACACCCTGGAGATGGGGGAAGCCCAAGATGATGAACTCTGTTACCTGGCTCCAGTTCCCTGTGTCCATTGCTCACCATTCATGTGCCTAGATGTGTGGTGCGGAAGCACAGGAAAGAAAAGTTGAGCTACAGAGGTTCTAACAAGAAGGCAACCCTCAAACTACTATTGCCCTCCCTTCTCTCACCTCCAGAGTAAAGCCCACTCAGTAACTGCTTTGAGAGGTCAACATTTCAATTCCATCCCTCCATGCCCTTCATGGCAACAGCCTCCTTCAGACTATTCACCTTTATATTTAGTCTTACCTGATTAAAGCAGCTCAGTTTTGGCCTTCCTAATTCATTCTGTAACCAGTTGACTTTCTCAATAGAATCTATATATATTTTAGAAATTTAAGTATTTCAAATCCGAAGTGTATATTAACATTTATACATATTGTTTGTCTAAGGGACAAATCATTTATAGTCATAATATATTGATACTGTACTGGACAAAGTATATATAATTTAAGTATTATTTTCTAATTTCTCATTTCAATTTGTTTTCTTCTTCAACTTTCTGGCTATGAAAGAATCAACTGTTTTCCCTTCTGCTCCCTCATATTCCTCTGTGAGAACTCAGGTCTACTAGCATCTTTCACGGCACATACATCAGAATTTAGACCTCTTTTGGACACTGGTGAGAATCCAAGTCAAAATAAAAAGGTCGAAGTAAATAAAAGAGCCAAAGAAAGAGAGGAGGCAGATCTATCTTTCTGAATTTCAAGTTCAGACTGTGGCCACTTTATCAATTGTTTCTGCCATTTCCCCCCCTCCTTCAACTCCAAATGTTCTTTTCTGGTTTATTGCTTCTGTAGATAGTAAATACACATGCTCTACTGTGTTGAGGTCACTGTAACAATAATTGATTATTTTCAGTACTCTAGGTATTATACTTAGAACAGGGACTAAACAGATAAATAAAATGTGGCACCTGATGTTAACAAACTAATATTTTAATACAGAACATAGAGAAACAACTAATTATTATACAGCTCTTTCATGGAATACTCTATCAACATAAAAGCATGCTATTATTCTCATTTACTAAACAGACAAAAAAGCAAGTGCCTTAAATTCTTTCTTTTTCCTCACTTATCCCACAGCCACCACCCTATTTTTTTCTATGTCCCTGAAAGAAAACTCCTCCAAGAGTCGCCTATACGCATTGCCTTTAATTCCTCTCTTTAAGTTCCTTCTTAAACCCACTTTAATTAGATTTGCACTACTACCACTCCATCAAAACCTCCTTTCTCATAGACATTAATTACCTAAGATTTGCTGCATCCGGTGGTCATTTCTCATTCCTCAGCTTACTTGTACTATCTGTTTCCTGACGGTGTGGATTTATCCTGTCTGTTCACACACCTTCTTCACTTGATTCTCAGGGTACTATACTTTCAGTTCCTTCCTATCTTATTAGTCATTCATTCTTATTCTCCATCATTAGTTTCTCCTCCATGCCCCACCCTTTTAATGTCACAGTGCCAGTGCCCATGGTCAGTGTTTAATCTTTTTTTTTCCTTCGGTATGAACTCAACTCCTCTGCTACTACCATCTAATACCACAGCTTTAAACACTATAAATGTGTTGAAGATATCTGAATCCATATCTCAGGCAGTATTTCTCTCCCCTACTCCACACGCATATATTTGACTGCCTACTCACATCTCCTCTTGGGAGTCTAAGAGCCATCTCAAACTGAACTCCTGAAGGCTCTACCCATAGTCTTCCTTATTGCAAATGATGGCAATTGCAGTCTTCCAACATACAAGCCAAAACCCTGCAGTCATCCTTGTTTCTATCTTTCTCTCATATATCCAGGAACGGACTATGTTTTACCACCTTGGTTCAAGTCACTTTCATCTTATCTCTATTACTGTAACTGACTCCTAACAGATCTTCCTAATTGCATTTGTCCACCTGCAGCCTCTTCTCAACACACCAGGATGATCCTGTTAAATTCTAAATTAGGTTCTGCGTTTCCATCGATCAAATGTGTTCAATGACATATCATTTTATAGCCTTTGCTGTAGCTCTTTCCTTGTTCTAGAATCTCTTTCACCACCTGGATGGCTCTTTGATTTATTTCATCTTTGCTCAAATTTCACCAGCTCAACCACCTGGGCCGCTCTATATAACTGCATTGTGCCTTCATTCTTACATCCATATTCTGTACTACCATTGCCTTCCTCTACTTTATTTTTAACTTTTTTCCAGAGGACTTATCATGTTCTAAACTATAAAATGTACTTATTTATTATTCCTACTGTTTATTGCTTCTCTCCTCTTTGAGAGTATAAGATCCATAATGGCAAATTTTTTTTTCCTTTTCTATTTTGTTTACTGGTGTATGTCAAGTGCCTAGAGCCATGTCTGAAATATAGTAACAACTCAATAAATATTTGTGTAATATGCAAATCTAGTAAGATAAATGCTAATTTGTATATGTAGTAGGAGTTATGAACCATGGACTGGATATGGTGATAAATCAGGAAAATTTCATAGAACACATAATTTTTTAAATTATTATTATTGTTTGGAGACAGTGTCTCATTCTATCACCCAGGCTGGAGTGCAGTGGCAGGACCTCCGCTCACTGTAGCCTTGACCTCCTGGGCTAAAGTGTTCCTCCCGCCTCTGCCCCACAAGCAGCTGGGACTACAGGCATGTGCTACCACGCCTGGCTAATTTTTGTATTTTGGGTAGAGATAGGGTTTAGCCATGTTGCCCAGGCTGGTCTTGAACACTTGGGCTCAAGTGATCCACCTGCTTTCGTCTCTCAAAGTGCTGGGATTACAGGCATAAGGCACTGTGCCCTGCCAGAAGTTATAATTTTTATTTGAAGCCAAGAAAGTGTCAGAATTTTTTAGATGGAAAAATGAAAAAAAAAAAAAGTATTTGAAGCAAAAGGGATTGTTTGTGTAAAGTCAAAGAGTTATGAAAGACCCTGAGTGTTCTTTTTCTCCCCTCCAGTCTTCTTATCACTTCTTCCCTCTCCAGAATCCTAAAATTCATCCAAACTTTGTTTACTCTAATTTTTTTTGGCATTTTCCAAACCTAGGCAACATGTCCATCCCATACACAAGAGCCTTTCTCAAAGACTTAGTATAGGAAGTTTGTCTACTAAGATTCCAGAGACCTACTTCTGGGCCAAACTTTTATATGGGTGATTTTGGTTCAGCATACTTACTTTATTATCCAATATTTGTTTGTCTTAGTTTTTCTCACTTCAGATCCATGTCTATCCACTGCCCAATCCTGCCTTCTGTTTCTTTTGAGTCTTGGAGGCATACCTGCCTTCTATAAAGGATTATCCCTAAATTTCTATTTCTTCTCAGATCCTTCTTTTCTAGATGTTCTACATTCATTCCCTTCTAAATATAAATGTAAGGTTCCATTCTAGGAGCTACCTCTTTCCTTTTCTGGCGTCCAGGTGTCAGAATCTAGACAACTCATCTGAGAGTGGGACTAAATTTTCTAACTAAATTTTCAGATCTGCATGGAGGACCAGTCACATGATTGAATAGGAGAAGCCAGTATCTTGTCCTCTCCTTTCTCAGAAAGTAGTTTCCACATAACTCCAAAGACTTACTATCATGCTATACATTGTATCATCATTTACTAATGACCTGCTGTTGTTCACTCCCTCCATACTCTGTCTAAGCAATCAAAGGATCAGATCAAGTATTATTTTCCACGGAAAACTAGCACCCCCAAATCTCTCATCTTCCAAGTTCACAATTCTCACAGGTTTGGACCATTTCCTTCTCTTCTTCAGAGTCCAAAGTTAGAAGAGAACTTCTTGCTCACTTCCTATATCGCATTTGCAATATTATGCTCAACCACTCCTGGGGCCTGGAGGGGTTGAAGTTTATCACTTTGATGGAACCTGTGGGAATAAGTTAAACCATAAAACGAATTCTTCTCACATAAAACTTGGATTCTTGATAGGGTCCTTGTAGAGGCAGAAGCCCATGAGGCTTCTGAGCAGATCTCCTGGGGTCACTAACATGCTCTCTCGGGAAGGGAACTGACATACGGCAAGTTTATTAGCTAGTAGTCCTTCATTACCTGTTAGTTACTACAACAATAACTGCCAGTCCAAGTTGAGATAGAACATCTCTCAAGGCAATTACTCCCTTTAACAAATAACAATAACCGATGTGGAAACTAGGCTCAAATGGGTTCCTGTACTGCATGACCTGGGAGTAAGCACATACATCTCAATTATGATAGGATCTTTTTAAAATTTGACTGACCTTCTCTGACCCTGAAAGGGTGAGGACAGGAAGACACTGAGAACATAAATATCATCAAGGCCGACTCCTAATCTTGTCTGTTGCTCATATTTACAGCAGTTACATGTTGTCTTACACACTACAGTCTCCTCTACTCTAGTGTTACCTGCTCTGTAAAGAGTACTGCCTCAGAATCTTGGATTTCAATCCCAGCCATTCTTCCAAGTACTTATGTGACATTAGGCACCTCAGTGAGCCTTGGATAGCAACATTGCCAAGAAAGTGGATTTTAAATACTCTCGCCACAAATTAAAAATGATAAGTACTGTACGTGAGGTGATAAATATGTTAATTAGCCTAATTTGATCATTTCACCCTGCATACACATATCAAAAAAATCACATATATAATTACTATTTGTCAGATAAAAATTTTAAAAAAATAAAGATTTTCTTTCCTCATATTAAAAATGTGATCATGTAAAAAGAAAAAAAGTACTTACAAACTATAATACAAACTGTGAGAAGAATTAACTAATTTTTGTCCCATTCCCAGTTCCCCTCACATTTTCGACATTCTTTATCCAAGTTTATATTTTTTGACCTCCTAATCTCTTTCTTGAAGAATTTTCAAATTGAGTTGGAAGTGTTTAATATTTTGTTCATGGTAAATAGATTTTTAATTAATAACTTAATATTTGAGACAAAGTGTTATTTTTTGACTAATATACATAGAGTTTAACTAATAATTTTATTTACTTAATGACTACAGGTTTATTCAGGTTTTCTAAATCCCTATAAGGCAATTAAGGGTTAAAGTACCACTACTTTTTAAACTAAATTTTCCAACTCTGTCAATTTCATTTCAATTACTTCTTTTCTGTGAACTAGAATATCCTCTGCTCCTAAAAGATGTCCACCAATTCTGCTACTGCCCCTCCAACTGATATCCTATCTCTATTTGTGCTCGGGTAAATGCTTCACAACTGACTTTCCTCTAACAAAGATTTCTACTTCGTTGAAAGCTAGCTCTCTTTTTGACTAAACCTCAACCTTGGCATACAAAATCTATAGACTAACAGCAAAAATGATTTTATTCGCCCTCCCCACCTTCCCTTCCAAACCACATGTATTAAAAGACTTAAACAAACACTCATGTAGTTTCTAAGAGCTCAAGGCCATAGATAATCCTAGCACCTCTTTAAGTGCCTGCCTGAGAAAATTCAAAGCTACCAAAATAATTCATGTGTATGTGTATGTGTGTGTGTGTTCACAATTATATTCATATATAACTAATTAAGTCTGTTCTTACCACCTTAGTGTCTGGCATTATTTAGCTTTGACATAACCTGACATTTTTGAAAAGACCCTGATTTATAATATTTGCTGATTGGCATAGTGCTAATACTCCCACTGTATCTGATTCCAAGCTATTGCTTCCACAGAATTTCTAATAAGTTATCAATCCTTTCTCAAAAACTGTGAGCAGACTTTAGCACCTAACTGCGTATCTTTTTATGGCATCACATGTCTTGAACCTGCAGCTCCATTAACTTCCTCAGTCCTCATTAGCATCTCAACCTCGTCTTTTACCACCACTGTTTACAGAAAATAACTGGCTGTATATAGAAGAAATGTACTGTGTGTTTATTTTACCAAAATACTTGATAAAATTGTGTGGAGAACAGCAGGGAAGATTTGGAGTAAAGGACACGCATATCTATGCAAAGGTTCTCTACCAAGTTCATGAATCTGGTGAGACAAAACACTCACAGAACAAATAACGAAAAGCAGATTTATTACTCATGGACAGGCAGCAATGAGAAACAGAAGCCTAGGGCTCATGACAAGTCTATTCCCACAGCTCAGGAAAGCTGCCCACGCTGAATGGACTCGCACCACACATTCCCCACATTGCACCGCAGCTGAGGGACCCAAAAAGCACTAGTCTTTGGAACACAGTTAGATAGTTAATTATAAACATATGTTTATCATGTGACCCAGCAATCCTACACTTAGGCATTTTCCCAAATGACATGAAAATGTATGTTTACACATAACCATATAATGCTAAAAATGAATATTATCTGGAGAGAGCTTACCTGCCCACCAAAGTTTGTAAGTAAAAAAAAAAAAAAAAAAAAAATACAGTCCAGAAAAGATAACCTAGTGTGATACACAGCGGCTAACTAAGGACTAGTTACCAGTACTATCAAAGGAAATTCAAAATGCAGATGTGAGACAAGTTGAGATGGGTTGTTCAGAAAACAAGTTAGTACAACTGGGGAAGACCGATGCATTCTATAGAAGAGTGGGTTTCAGTAATGATTAGATTCGATTCATGATGTCATTGTTCAGGGTTGGTGACAGATGTGGGTAAGATTCATTACATGTTTCATTTATTATACCTGCATCAAATATTCATCTCGTTTAGGCTCTGTGCTAGATTCTGTACATATAACGAATAACGAAACTGAAATAATTTCAGACAAAATCCAGTTTATAGATACTGGTAGAAAAGAATGACACACTATGTCTATCTATAACTATATCTATACATACACAAATGTCCACAAATATATAAATTGCGATACATATTTTGAGGAAAAGCAAAACATACATCATAGATAAAAATGAGTGACATAAATTAGATTGAGTGTTCAGAAGTCCTCTCAAAGGTAATGTCTGGAAATTGATATTTGAACAGAAACTCACACAATTAGGAAGAGTGAGCCAAATGAAATGTTGGGGAAAAAACAGAGTAAAGATCCTGAAGCCAGAAAAATCCATAATGTATTTGAAGACCTGAAAGACTAATCATGTAACTAGGGAAGAGGGAGCTGAGGGAGAAGCGGTATAAGTCTATATTGGAGAGGAAGGCAGGGAAGAATTTTGTTTAGCCCTATAAAGTATGGTGAGGCTTTGAATTTTATCCTAAAAGCAATTGAGAATTTCTTGTGTTTTTATAAAATGATATATACAATTTAGGTTTCAAATACATTTCTCTGTGTTTTATGTGGGAAAATATATTAGGATAGAATGAGAGTAGAAGAAAGGAGTGTGGGTAGAATATTATTATACTAATCCAGTTGAAAGATATTGGTGATTTATACCAGGATAGCAACACTAAAGAGAATAAGAAATAAATTGATTTAAGAATATATTTTGTGAAAAGATTAGCATACATTAATAATTTATCAGAATTATGGGTGCAAGAAAAGGAAGCAAGATAGAGTTTTTGAAATGTTCTAGAAGAAACACAAGGAAAACAAAAGCATCAAGGTTTTATGGTTAGAAATTTTAAGAAACCATTTTGACATGTTAAGTTTTAAATTATTGAGAATTCCAATCCAGGTAGTGTTGATAAGTAGGAAGTTGAACATATAAGTCCAAATTTTAGAGAAAAACTGTAGTTTGGAAAGAAAAATTTAAGAGCCCTTGTGATAGAGATTGTATTTAAATCCATGAGAATAACTCTGAGTATCTAAGGAGATAGCATGGCAGGACAACGAAGGCTGGGAAAGACTCACTAGAAAGATAAGAAGAAAACTGGGGGGTAAAGATGTCATGAGAGTGAAGGAAAAAAAAGCTAAGGGAGTTGAGGCATAGAAACTGGTCATGTGTCAAGAGGTCAGGCCAGAGGAGGAAAATAACTTTCTAATGGATTTGGTAGCATGGAGGTCAATAATGACCTTCACAAAATATTAGCTGGAAGGCCTGAGTCAAAATAAGATTGGAATGGGTTGAAAAGAAGTTTGATTGGAAAAAGGAGCAGAGAAATTGATCTCTAGCTGGATGGACATGTGTGGCCACGGAAATATACATGGTTGTTTTTTTTTTAAGAAGAATATAGAGACTATAATATTCTTAAATGCTGATATAAGTGATCAAGTAAAAAATGGAAAAATTAAAGATATAGAAAACAAGAAAACCATAAAGAAATTAAGTCTTTGAAGAGGTGAAAGGAAATGAAATTCAGAGCATGTGTGATGATGGGAAGATTATTCAAGGCCAAGCTAAAGGAACACAGAACTTTTATGAATTGAATATGGAAGTGAGAAGGGACCTTGGAAGGAAGTCACTGATGAGCAAGACTAGCTTTATCCCCCTTCTGGAGGATGGTCCTCTTGATGGCTTTAATGAGTTCCTTGTTACGAAGACTGTAGATAATTGGGTTGACCATTGGTGTTAGTACCGAGTAAACTATAGCAAGTGTCCAGTCAAGGGTCAGTGAATAGCTCTTCTTTAGTCGCACGTACATGAAGATGATGCTCCCAAAGAAGACAAGGACCGCAGCAAGATGCGAGCCACAGGTAGAGAAGGCCTTCTTTCTTCCTGCTGCTGTTTTTATCTGCAGCACAGCCCCAATGATCCTTGCATAAGAAATCGTGATAAAGAAGAAAGTGATAAGAATTATGAAGGCATTAATGGCAAAGTCCACCAGAATGTTAGTGGATGTGTCCTTGCAGGCCAAGCTCAGCAAAGGTGGAAAGTCACAGAAAATGTGTTGGATTTCGTTGTAACCACAGAATGGGAGCTGGGAGACCAGGATGACCTCAGAAATTGGACACAGGAAGCCACAAGTCCAACAAGCGGCAGCCATCTTGGCACAGAGGGTGGTCGTCATAATTGCAGGGTAGTGGAGGGGCCGACAAATGGCCAGGTATCTATCATAGGCCATGGCTGTAAGAAGGTAGCATTCAGAGGCTCCCAAGGAGTGAAAGAAATAGGTCTGAAGGAGGCATCCTGCAAAAGAAATGGTCTTCTTCTCACTGAGAATATTAGCTAGCATCTTAGGGATGGTGGTAGCCGTATACCACAACTCCAAGAAGGAGAGAACACTGACAAAGTGGTACATGGGTGTGTGCAGGGCTGATTCCAGTTGGATGACTAAGAAGATGAGCATGTTGCCACAGATGGTGAACAGGTATGCCAACAGCAGCAGGACAAAAAGGCAGCCCCTGACGTAGCCCCTACTGGCAAAGCCAAAGAACACAAATTCAGCCAGTCTTGAATGGTTGTATTGATCCATGGGAGGCTGAGGTAAAGAAGGAAAGAAAAACACTAGATTAAGGTGACTGCTGAATCCATGCCAAAACCTCATTTCTCTCTCTTTTTAACTTAAAAGTAGCACGTAAATTACAACTATTACTCCAACTACTATTACTATTACTGTAAAAATAACAATAGCTAACTCTTATTAGCACTTACTACTCATCAAACATTTTAACAAGTGCCTTGAATTCAATATTTAGTTAATTTTTATAGTTCAACGAGATAAGCACCATTGTTTTGCCTATTTTGCAAACATGAAAACTCGGCAATAGAGAGAAAAAGTGATTGTAATACTTTTTTATTTCTTGTGATACTATTTCCCAGAAATAACATTTAGACCATCCTCAAACATTCTAGCTTTATACTATCTGACTGTTTCTAAGCATTCTAACTCCTCTTTCCAGGTCATGGTTTTTCCTTCAGTTAATTCTTAAAGAGTGAATTTGGGGTATGAGATTAATAGAGTAGCAAATCTTTTCTTACTGTTCAGTTCACCTCTATAAACATTTATTGAACAAATATGTGTCAGGCAGAAGGAACACAAAATTCAACAAGGTACAATCTCTGCCACCAGAAAGCTTATAACCCTGTAGAGAAGCAGACATTTCAATAGGATTTGTAAAGTACAGAACACTTTACAGAGTGCCCGAAAAGTGGCTCATTTCTCAGACCAGGATGACTGAATAAAAAGCATTTAGAGAATGCATGTAAGATGAATTTTCCAAGAAGAGCTTGGATCAGCTAGGTAAAAGAGAAATGCCAGATATAGGTGATGGGGAGGAAGGCAGCAAACCACATTGCCATGTATGTACCTATGCAACAATCTTTCATGTTCTTCACATGTACCCCAAAATCTAAAATGCAATAAAACATATATATATATTATATATATTCTCTTAATATATATAATAAATATATATTATATATATGTGTATGTATGTGTGTGTGTGTGTGTGTGTATATATATATATATATATATATATATAAAAAGAGAAAAATAAATATTTCAGTCAAGAATAAAAGCAATGAGCAGCAAGCCACTCATTAGGGAAACATATCTTCCCCTGTGTGGTAAGCAAACTGGGAAAGCTCACTCAATGCTTTAAGACCTTGTCTCAGTAGATGAAGGGCATCACTAAGGAATGTTTGATAGATGACTGACCTGGTCAGATGTAGATTTTTTAAAAATAAATAAAATTTAATTATTCTTACTCAAGCTCAGAGCTGAAGGTATGAATTTGCCTTGTGGGTGTTGCTGACAGGAAGATGGTTTAGGGAGGTTATCACATTTGGTGTAACAGTGCAGATTCAAAAACAAACATCATACACTGGCAATAAACATGAATCCTGTATTTTCCGAAAATCAATTCTATAAGTACAGGTGAAGAGTATATAGTTGGCTTGGTGAAATTTTATATAAAACAGTATTGGACATTCTAATTATTCTTAAGCAGAATGTGAAACATCCATTAGTTTATAATGATACTTAGAAATTATTATTGGTCACCATTGGAGGATGAAAGAAACCATGTCATGATTCTGCAAACAGGTATATAGGAAAGGACAAAAGCAAACATTTATCCTGTATTTTCCAGTAAAAATGATAGCAGTGCCAGTCATACCATACGCTGTGTAGCTCACACTGCATTTGAAAACTGCCCAATTCTAGTATCATACCAACAAACAAGCCTCTTGCTTATTTTCATCGTCCTGACACTCATCACAATGGCTGTCACATTAAAAGTATTGAATAGGATTTTAATAACCAAATGAATTAATTTAAACAACTATATTAATAATTAGTAGACCAGTGCTTTCCCTGCAACTCTACCACTCACTCAACTCAAAACATTTCTTCCAAACTCAAATGCCCTGCAGTAGAAATAAATTTCTGGGTTTGATATTTTAGAATGCTAAACTCGTTGAAAGCAATTGATACTTAAAAGATTCTTCTTGATTTTCTTCTAACCTAAGGAGACTGTATATTCGCCTCTCCAATTACAGGAGACAGATATGTTAAAAAAGAAATTCTTGCTTCATTACATTTCATTTGCTTCTAGGTCATCTCTCTTCTCCATCTGGGAACTTCTTAGCCTTCAAAATCAGATCAGATCTTAACTCCTTAAATATTCTTCTGCTGAATTCCTCAGAAAAAGAATTATTTACTCCTTTTCTATGCCCTCATAATATTTATATTTAGCATGTTGTTACCTTTTTAAGTCTGTCTTCCCCATAAATTGTTAAGATCTTTGAGAATAAATGTAGTACTTCATTAATTATTATGTATTTCCCTGCTAATGCCTAGGACAATAAGTATATAATTGTGAACTCAATCAATGTTTTATTCTAGCCTAAATTTAAGTTACATTTTCTCTATTGTACCTGAATGCATCCTTTTTGTTGTCTTCTTAGCAGTTCAAAGCTTATAGTATTCTAACAAAGTTAGCATCTCAAATTTAGTCCGGCCTCAACTTTCCCTAATCTTGTTGAAAGACCCATCATTACTCCCACTGACTCAGAGAAATTAAACTCAGGAAATAGTTTTGATCATCTTTTATGTGTAAGGAACTGTTATTGGTAATGTTTCCCCTTTATACAAGTTAGCTTTTCTGAAGCCAACTGTATGTGTAGATCAAGTAAGGTCTAGTAAACGTAATAATTTCAGGAGCAACTTCAAGGCCTCTGGACCCCAAATTATTGTATGACCAAATGTCTGTAATCTTCCAAATAGAAAATCTGTGTAAGGCCTTCTCTAGGTTAAGCATTTTCAAATGCAGTTTCTCCTGAGAGAATACAATATAAATGCTCCTCAACGATGCAGTTACAGCCCAAGAAACCTATCATAATAAAAATAAGTTGAAAATGCATGAAATATACCCAAACATCACATGCTAGCCTAGTGTCCCTTATATGTGCTCAGAACACTTGCATTAGCCTACAGTTGGGCAGAATCATCTAACACAATACCTATTTTATAATAAAGTATTGAATATCTCATGTATTAATCTGTTGAATGTATTTGCTTTCACACCATTGTAAAGTAGAAAAACTGTAAGTAGAATCATCATTCATTAGGGACTGTCTATACCTCATTAGGTGTTCTCAGTCACAGCCTCTATTTCATGAAAATTGTTTTAGAAACCTCTACTTTCTACCATCTGTGTCAGCACTTGACCGATCTGTGACAGCACACAAGACAATTTCTTGTCTGTCAACGTTTTAAAAGCAAATGATTGCTAATCTCTTGGTTGTAGAATAAATGACGAATCAAATGGAGGGAATGGTGGACAAGATGGCCTTTAAAGTCTCTTCCAAATCTAATACTCTAAGATGATCAAAATCGAATTATTTCAAGTACCAGTTACTTAAGTCACATTTTCACTAATTCAATTGTTATATTTCCAAGTAGTATGTTTTCAAATCCCTTATTGTGTGCCACCTTTCCAATCGCTGATCAATACAGTTAATGTGCTCCCTAGTTCACCTACCAACTACCGATCATCATTCAGCGTCTGCTTTGATCTTGCCTGGATGAGTATATGTGTGGGAGATGGAAACTGGATCTTTGAGCCTTTCCTCCTTTACAGCAAATCTCATCCTCCTGAGGCAGAGTCCCCAGAGTTAACACCGATTGTTTTTGCCACAAGTGGCAGAAGGAAGCCAGAGGCAGGTGAGAATCTGGCTCAGGGGAGACTCCTGGGAATCCAAATTTACCTCTCACTTGCAGAAGTGGGCTCAGAGAAGTCTTTCCCAAATGTTTGCTATCTCATCACCCTCCCTTGCCACTTCTAGTCCCTCATCGTTAGTGACTTCTGAACCTAGACTCTTGACCTCTGGTTCTGAAAACGCGACTCTAATCTTCCCACCATTCTCATAAACTCATGTACTTTCACATTTCTTGACTCACTTCAGCTATACAAAGAGACTATTTCCCCTCATCGTTTTAGCCAATTACTTTTTCTGATAATGTGCTGAATCCCACTAATATTATTATTCTTCCTTTCAGAAGCTGATAAGAGCTGCCTGTTTTTAAAACAAACAAACACACACACAAACACACTGGGATTGTGGAGCTTCAGAAACTTTAATTTGAATTGTAGCTCCAATTAAAGACTCGTTTACCTGAGCATTTGCTAAGCAACACATATTGTTCTAAGCACAATACAGTCCTCACAATTACTCTAATACAGTCCTCACAATTACTCTATGAGGTTGGTATGATTGTTATTCCCATTTCACATTTGAGAAAACCGAAGCCCAGAGAGTTTAATAAAGTGTCCAAGGTCACACAAGTGCCCTACAGAATGGTAAACCAAATCACTCTGACCCCAGAATCCATTATCATCGCCTGTAAGCTCCACTGCCTTGGAAATGTTCCTAATAGTCAAAGGATCATAACCAAGGTCACATTACCATAAAGTGGCACCTGTTTTAAGGTCTGTGCTCTTAACTACTACTCTCTATGTACCTTCAGGCAGTCATGTATTTATCTGAACCAGTATTTTATTATGTATAAATGTGTGCTGTGAGAGTGAAGATAAACCTCAAACACTAACTATAACAGTTTTAAAGTGTGTTAGCTTATATTCCCCACTTCATGTAGCAGATGTAGAATACATGTTTGGAAACTACTCCAAATAATTAACTTTGTCTAAGTGACTTAGCCTCTCACAGCCTTATTTTCTTCACCTTTAAACTGAACATATTTGGGTTGCTTTGAGAATTACATGACAGGACAAAGCTTTCCAGCAAAAGAAAGGAACATACCCATAATCAACAAAATTAGGTTTATTGACTTATTACAATGTGGGTAATCACACACCACTGGAGCTGTGGGACATTTCTGTAAGAGGGTGTTAGATGGGAATTATTACAGGATGTGGGCTGACATTAGGCAATTTTAGGTGAGGTGGAAACATTCAAGAGAGCTAAGCTTGCTCTGGATTTGGTCCTATCAATTACTAGAAATAATTCCATGACTAGGTATCTTAATGAATCTTATTCATTAAAGCACACTAAAGCTGTAATTGAGAAAGATGATATCAGTCACTCATTTTAGCTAGGAGAATAAATAGATTTTTCTGACTGTACAGTGTTGTATGTAATTAGACAGGATTACTAAGTGGTATTTTTTTCCTCTCACTTCATTATGGTCAGAGTGACTTTGTCTGATGTTGCTATTCTGTGAGAACATCATGAGCTAGGTTGTGTTTTTTTCAGATAAAATACATAAGGGGCAAAATACAGTCTTGTACATAGTAGGTGACCCACTAACTTTAAGTCTCTTTCCCTCCTACCGATCATACTCTTTTCCTTTTTAGTGTTTTTAACATTAATTGACAACGTTCCCTTTTGAATTGACTATATTACAAAACAATCACAATAAACATGTAACCCTGGATTGTTCAAAATTTAGTTTTCATGAATGAAATCCATCTCCTTGTTACTTCCCCTCATTGGTTCTATGGCAACTCTCTGAATCCAACATAACACAAAGTTCTGCCAGTACTAGAACCCAGCTTTCATGCCCTGCCTTGATGAATTTTCTTCCAGCTAAATGGCCTCTAACTTGTCTACATGTGTGTTGAAGTGCCCTAAGCATACTGATCCCTCTTTCTTAGACTGGTTCATCACTGTTTCACTCTCTGAAATGAACAACAAGGCTAAAGATATGTCGTTCAAAACCAGAAATAAGCTAATACCCTAGGTTTTAAAATCACACTCCACTCTGCTTGACCTAACTCCTAGAACACATTT